TCATGAGGTCCTGCAAATCGAACAATTTTCTACCCCTTCTCAAACCGCTTTTGTGCTGACAAAATTTGGGCACGACACTTGAAAAAAATTCAAACTTCCAAGCTTTGATTTGGACATAATTTTCGTCCCTGTTTCAAACAAAGAAAAACTTCTGAGTTTAAACATGGTGGCTGGTTTGTGACCTTGGCCTTGAGGTCTATCGCTCTTTCACTTGCCATGATAACTTTGATTTCCACTTGGAAACCTTGCTTGTTATTGGTTAACCACTTTCTCTGTCTACCTTATCACATAAAATACCTTTGATCCGTTCAAACCCAACACCCTCTATCTGTTGCATTGTTCATGAATTGACATATACCGAACCTTTGTATTTTACATGAATCCCAAAGCACGTTGATTGTTACCAACTCAGTGTGCCTCCTGTTCTTACTGGCCTTGGCCTTGAGGTCTGTTGCTCCCTCACTTGCCATGATAATCTTTGATTCCCATTTGGAAAACCTTGCTTGTTATTGGTTAACCACTTTCTCTGTCAACCTTATCACAAGAAATACCTTTGATCCGTTCAAACCCAACACCCTCTATCTGTTGCATTGTTCATGAATTGACATATACCGAACCTTTGTATTTCACATGAATCCCAAAGCACGTTGATTGTTACCGACTCAGTGCGCATGCTGTTCTTTCCTGACTTATGCCACTTTGATGTGCTAGCCAGATCCCGTTTTGTGCAATTAGAAAGCTGGTGGCAAATTTTGAAGTCATTTCTCACTTGTTCTAACTAAACAGACTTAGGAAGAGGAAGTAAACAAGACAAAAGGAACAGAGTAAAGGACAATGGGAAGAGATGATTCGTAACAAGAAAACTACAAAGTAGAAACTTATCAGATGTGAATACCAACTCTAATGACCATGACATGCACCCTTTGGATTAAGTGGCCTAATTTGTCAAGCAAGTCTAATGTTCAACTCTTGTTGCATCTGTAAGTCGTGAAACTGGGCTTTAGTGCTCCGATTATCCAATCTGATTCGCGATCCTTATTCGACTTGTAGTGCCCGAAAGGTTTTCACCATCAAGCCTCTCTCATTTTGTTCTTTCTCTCTACTCACCGTTGCCTTATGGTGCCTGTGAAGGTTTTCACCAATAAGACTCTCTCATGTTGTTCTTTTCTTCTTATTTCCTCAAATTCTGCGGATGACAAGGCATTAACCATGGTAAAAACATCATATACTCTTGGCATGTCTAAACTCAGCACTCTCAAAGATTATCTGGAGGTCTTTTTTCGACTGTAATGTGGCTTTTGGACAGGGTTAGAAAGAAAGGATATCATAGAGGCTCAAAATAATTAAGACAACAGGGTTAATTTATTTACAACTTTTGGAATCCATTCTAAAAACTTTGGCCCAATTTCTAAAACAAGGGAATTTGATTCTTCTTTTTTTTTCTTTTTCTTTTGATGGAGTTACTACGAAAGACTGCCCCACTTTCGACTTCGTGGGATTATGAAATATTTTATTTGGTAGGACCGAACTGTAAGGCTGCCTACGTATCTTGTGGTGACAAGAATCTGGTCAAACGTAGTTCACAACTAATTCTTGTTTGTTTTTTGTTTCTCTTTTTCTTTTCCTTCATTTTTCCTTTTTTTCTTTTCTTTCTTTTTTTTTCTTTTTTTGTCTTTTTTTGTCTTTTTTTCGTTTGGAATGAACTTTCTAAAACAAACCTATGGGGACATGAATATTTTTCTTTTTATGACTCTAACTTGATTCCAAAAGAGGGGAGGTCAAAGAAATCAGCACATGCTCAAAGGGGTATCAAAGGGAATAAAGTGTTTGGATAGCTGAAAGAGGGCCTCCCAATCTCTAAGAATACCAAGTATAACACATGCAACTTGAAGATGGAAAATGAAGATCATGCATAGCATTGCTTTTGCAGCATTGGCATTGGTTTCATAGATATTCCTTCCACCTTTCTTTAGGCCCTTGTCAAGTACAGAGCTGTTCTTGGGTGATTTATTCTTCAAAATGGATGTGCTCCGTCAGTTTGGAGCAAACTCCCTAGGCTTTATGTTGTAACTTGAGCTGCACTTGAACTCAAAGTTGCTTGCTTCAAATTGTCTGGGAAGCACTCTCTTGTAATAAATTCTTGTCGTCCCTATTAACTTCCCCAAATTATCTACCCCAGTTTCACATAGTTCGGGCTTCAAATGATCTCAAAATGTCCGAATATGTACTTATTTCCCTCAAATGTCTATATCATCTTCAAAATTATTTCATTGCTTCATGATTACACTAACTTGTAAGACCAGGCTGAGAATTACGCATGTATGTCATGTCACTAGAGCCAGCATGAAAAGAACTATCAAAGGAAAAGAGAACTAAACAAAAAAGGACTAGAAATAACAAAAACAGGAGATTGCATTAAACAAACGGTAAAAAGGTTCGAACAACAAAACAAGCAAACTAGACTGGGGTTACAACCCTGGAACAAACCTAGACAACACTAAATGAGTTACTACGACTAAGCGAACCAGGCAAAATAAAAGGATAGAAGGGTTTGAGTCACAAGACAATATTCGGATTACAACCCTGAAATAACCCTGACAAAAGAAATGACAACAAAATGAACCACCAAGACTCCTCCCTGGCTAACCAAGAAAGGAGCATCTTTCCAATTACCTAGCTTGGCATCTTAGCCACTGAGTTCCACATCAATATCACTGGGACCTTCACCAACTTCAATCACATTGTCTTCACCAAGTGGCTCATTCGTTCCGTTGACCAACCCTTCATCATTGCAAACCATCCCAACAATTTGTGCGTTGTCACGTACCTGTAGAGGATTATGTGTGACACTTGGGGTATTACTACCTTGGACCACAATTATTCCTTCTTGAATCATTCTTTCTATTTCCCTTTTGAAAGCACGACAATCTTCAACATTGTGCCCCTGGGCATTGGAATGGTTTTCACACCTTTTAGCAGGGTCAAAGCTTCTTGCACGTGGGTCTATATAATTTAGAGGAATAGGTGCAATCATGTCGTAATGCTTTAATTTCTCAAACAAGCTTGCATAAGACTCTCCTATTGGTGTAAAATTATCTTTCAGCCTTTGATCCCATCTACACCCTTGGCTTGAATGTGGGTTATAAGGCACTTGAAAATTTTGTGGAGGCTGGTGGGGATTCTGCTATGCTCGTGCTTGCCTTTTGTAGTGACCCAGTGGCTAGACAGATGGCCGGACGTTGTTCGGAGGATAATACTGGGGTGGATTATGTGGAGCTCGGGGATATTCATGGGGTCGGTATTGAGGATGAAAGCGTTTAGCAGGAATGCCACTGGATCCTGTCGTTGGCGGGGCTCAGCACATCTTTTCTATCAATCGCGGGACTGACCCGAGCAACTTGTTCGTTCCATCTGAACAAAAGTTCCCTAAAACTTTCCTTGGGTTTCTTTTCCATCTGAGATAGGGAGGAGCGGTCTGGGACAATGTCTATATTGTACTGAAAGTGTCGCACAAAATCTTGGGCCATGTCCTCCCATGTATGCCACTTACCGACATCTTGACGAGTATGCCATTCCAAAGCTTCCCCAGTCAGGCTCTCATTGAAATACGCCATCAGCAGCTCACCTTTCCCGCCAACACTTCTCATTTCACTGCAATAACCCCTCAGATGGGCTATTGGATCTCCACGCCCATCATACAAGTTAAAGTTTAGTATTTTAAAGCCTGCGGGCAAGTGAACGTCAGGGAACATACACAGATCCTCTAAGGCAATACTCTTCTCACCTGCCAACCCTCGCATGATTCTTAAAGACTGCTCAAAGATTTTCACCTTCCTGGATATCTCATCTTGCTCCACTATCTTAGCGGGTTTTTCAGTTTCATCTGGAGGCTCAAAATGAGAAGCGTGAGAGCATGGATCTGAGACCTTGAAAGTTGGTTCTGGAGCACAGTGTTGGCATCAGGGATTTTGAACACAGTCTCGCTAGAGAATCAAGGAAAAACATGAGTGGTCAAAGGAGCGGGATATGAGGTGGTTCTGGGGGGGGGTGGATTGTGAAGAGGTTGTGGGGAGATATCTTGGACTTGTGACAGTGGCGGAATGGTGACAAAGCTTTTAGTGTAATTAGCAGGGACTGATGGTGGANTACTGCTGGGGGCTCGGGCTGCTGCGCGGTAGAAAAGGAAGTACGTGTCCTCACCATCTGCAAAAGAACAGAGTAGGAAGATAATCAGTATTTTGAGAAACAGTATCGCACGACAGGAAAGAACAAAAGTGAAACTTTTCCTAACTCCGTAGCCTCTGGGGGATAAATACAGACGTCTCCGTACCGATCCCTCAGACTCTACCAAGTTTGTCCGTGAGTAGCGAGACCTATGCAACCTAGAGCTCTGATACCAACTTGTCACGACCCGGATTTCCCACCCTCGGGAGTCGTGATGGCGCCTACTAATAGGAGCTAGGCAAGCCAATTAATTTAACACTTCTCTCAACATCATTAACAGTATAAAGAAGAACGAGGCAATTAATATAAAAAGCGGAAGTCTCGAAACATAAATAACAGAAACCAAGTGCGGAAATTCAAATACACCTCTACTCAGATCTGGTGTCACTAACTCACGAACTTCTATTGAATGCTAAATACAAAGTCTGAATAAGAATACAGTACTGTCTGATCCGATACAAGGGAAGTCAAACGAAAGACAGAGATAAGAGAGACTCCGGGCCATGCGGACGCCAGCAAGGCTACCTCGGAAATCTCCGGACTGAAGTAAGCTCCCAACGCTCCTACTGCTGTCCAAAAGCTCCTGCTCCGGTACTATGATCTGTGCAAAAAGCACAGAAGTGTAGCATCAGCACAACCGACCCTATGTGCTGGTAAGTGCCTGGCCTAACCCCGGCGAAGTAGTGACGAGGCTAGACAGGACCTACCAAAAACAACCTGTGCAGATATATATATAAAAAGGCAACAGAAATAACAACAGAGAACATCAACTAAAAAGGGTAAGGGGGCATGCTCGGGGAAAATACAGTGAATACAGATCAACAGATATAACGACGAAACTATCTCAATACCATAGCTCATATATAAGTGGTCGGCGCGCCACACGATCCCATTTCTTAATTCATAAGTGGATGGCGTGCCACACGATCCCATTTCATAATATATAAGTGGTTGGCGTGCCACACGATCCCATTTCATAATATATATATAAGTGGTCGGCGTGCCACACGATCCCATTTCATAATATATAAGTGGTCGGCGTGCCACACGATCCCATTTCATAATAAATATACATATAATCTTTCTAAAGGAGGCCCCATTAGGGGGAATTCAACAACATAACGGTTTAACCCAGCAAGGGTACAACTAACAGCCCAAATATCCCGGCAAGGGAGCAACAACAATAATAGACTACGTGTCCCGGCAAGGGAAAAGTCACAACACTTTCTCTTTTAATCACTTCTTTCTCAATTATCAAATTCTAGTTCGAGACAACGATCCAATAATATACCAATCGCAATTCCTCCTCAACCCTTCACATTATAGGAAACGTAGCAATTAAACTAGAAAGATGTTTCACAAAGTCCGGTTCAAACACAGTTAAGACCCACGGTCATGCTAGACTCCGGTGTATAGATAACCGTCACCATACCTATACATCGTACTCTTCATTTAGCAATTAGCAAATAATATCCTAATCCTATTCCCTCTAATCAAAGTTAGAACAAACACTTACCTCGGTCCAAGAATAGCAATCAACTCTCCAATACCGCCTTTCCTCTACAATCCGACTCCGAAACAACGATATCTAGGCATAATCAATTCAATAATATCAAATAAGACTCAAAAACAAAATCCCATAGCCTAGAAATGAAGTCCCTAGCATTCTTCCAAAAATACCAAAATTCGACACCGGTCCCACATGGTCCAAACATGAGGCTCGGACCAAAACCCAATCACCCATAACCCCAGGAGTTCAAATATATAATTTGTTTTAAGATTCGACCCCAAATTGAGGTTGAATCACCCAAAATTCTCAAAACCCTAACTCTACCCAAAACCCCTAATTTCTACTTTGATTTCATGATTTAGGGCTAGGAATTTAGTAATTAATAGAGGAAATTGAAGAAAACAAGTTGAACAATGCTTACCCAAGAAGTTTTGATGAAAGGGAGCTTCAATGGACGCCTAAGTGCTTGGAGAAGAAAGGAGTTCGTGTATTTTATGAAAATCCCGAGCTACTGTTCTGTTTTTAACTTAAAAATTCGCTGGGCAAAATTGCCCTTCGCGTTCACGGGAGAGGGGCCGCGTTCGCGAAGGGTAAACTGGGTAAGCTACCGCGATCGCGTGGAGACAGACGCGAATGCGTAGAAGGAATTTGCTGGGGTCCAGGAACTGTTCTATGCGAACGCGTGGGACTTCACGCGAACGCGAAGGGGAAAAGGAGACTCACCCCTCAGGTTCAAATAACCCTATTCGAACGCGGGGCTGGAACGCGATCGCGAAGAAAGAGGGAGTAAGGCATCGCGAAAGCGGGATGAAGAACGCGATCGCGAAGAGGAAATGGGCTCTGCAACAGCTGAAGCAAAATCTGCTATTTTTCTAAGTGTATAAACACCCGGAACCACCTCCAATTCACTCCCGAGCCCTCGGGGCTCCTAACCAATCACACACACTAACCCAATAACATCCTACGAACTTACTCGAGCGATCAAATCGCAAAATAACATCAAAAATCATTGAATCACGCCTCAAGATCATCATTTTCATTTCAACTTCATAACTTCAAATTTTAGATATTTAGGTCCGAAACACGTCAAACGACGTCCGATTTCGACCAAACTTTAGAGAAAGCGCTTAACACATATTTAAGACTTGTACCGGGCGTCGGAACCAAAATACGAGCCCGATACCATAGTCTTTTAATCAATTTTCATTTCCATTTTCCTTAATAATTTCAGAAAAATAATTTCACAGAAAAATTCATTTGTCGGGCTCTCGACCTCGGAATTCGACTCCGGGCATATGCCCGAGTATCATATTTTCCTATGGACCCTCCGGGGCCGTCAAATCACGGGTCCGGGTCCGTTTACCAAAAATGTTGACCAAAGTCAACTTTAATCATTTTAAAGCCACATTTTGAAATTTTTCACAGAACTTAACATATAAGCTTTCCGGCTACGCGCCCAGACTGCGCAAGCAAATCGAGGCAAGCAAAAATGAGGTTTTCAAGGCCTCGGAAGCACGGAAAAAGAGAGAAATCCGGTGATGACCCCTTTGGGTCGTCACATTCTCCACCTCTAAAACAACCGTTCGTCCTCGAACGGACAAAAGAAAGAAGTACCTGAGTCGGGAAATGGATGAGGATAACGGCTCCGCATATCAGACTCGGACTCCCAGGTCGATGCCTCCGGAGGCTGACCTCTCCACTGGACACGCACTGAAGGAAAACTTTTTGACCTCAACTGTCGAACCTGCCGCTCTAGAATAGCTACCGGCTCCTCCTCGTAAGACAGATCCTTGTCCAACTGGACAGTGCTGAAATCTAACACGTGGGCTGGATCGTCGTGATACCTCCGAAGCATGGACAAATGAAACACTGGATGCACGGCTGATAAGCTGGGTTGCAAGGCAAGTCTGTAAGCCACCTCTCCCACTCGATCGAGAATCTCAAATGGGCCAATGAACCTAGGGCTAAGCTTGCCCTTCTTCCCAAATCTCATCACGCCCTTCATAGGCGACACTCGGAGCAAGACCCGCTCACCAATCATGAAAGCTACTTCTCGAACCTTATGATCCGCATAACTCTTTTGCCGCGACTGAGCCAAACGAAGCCTGTCCTGAATGATCTTGACCTTATCCAAGGCCTCCTGAACTAAATCTGTACCCAATAACCGAGCCTCCCCCGGCTCAAACCATCCGACTGGAGACCGACATCGCCTACCATACAACGCCTCATATGGAGCCATCTGAATGCTGGACTGGTAGCTGTTGTTGTAGGCGAACTCTGCTAAAGGCAAAAATTGGTCCCACGAGCCTCCAAAATCAATGACACAAGCTCGGAGCATATCCTCCAATATCTGAATAGTCCTCTCGGACTGGCCGTCCGTCTGAGGATGGAACGCTATGCTCAACTGAACCTGGGTGCCCAACTCCTGCTAAACTGCTCTCCAGAAGCGCAAGGTAAACTGCGTACCCCGATCCGAAATAATAGATACCGGCACCCTATGAAGGCGAACAATCTCTCGAATGTAGATCTCAGCTAACCTCTCCGATGAGTAAATGGCTGCAACAGGAATAAAATGCGCTGACTTGGTCAGCCTATCAACAATGACCCAAATAGCATCAAACTTCTTCCGAGTCATCGGAAGTCCAGTAACGAAATCCATGGTAATCCTCTCCCACTTCCACTCGGGAAGCTCAATCCTCTGAAACAAACCACCAGGCCTCTGATGCTCATACTTAACCTGCTGACAGTTCAAACATCGAGCCACATATGCAACAATATCTTTCTTCATCCTACGCCACCAATAAAGTTGCCGCAAGTCCTGATACATCTTCGCGGCGCCCGGGTGAATAGAATACTGAGAACTATGGGCCTCCGCTAAGATCAACTCTCGAATCCCATCGACATTGGGCACACAAACTCGCCCCTGCAACCTCAAAACACCATCATCATCTAAGGTCACCTTCGTGGCACCTCCACGCTGCAGCGTGTCTCTCAGGACACACAAATGGGGATCGCCAAACTGTCGATCACGGATACGCTCCAATAATGAAGAACGAGCGACCGTACAAGCTAACACTCTGCTAGGCTCAGAAATGTCCAACCTCACAAATCGATTGGCCAGGGCCTGAATATCCAAAGCAAGCGGTCTCTGGCTGACCGGAACTTAAGCAAGACTACCCATGCTGGCGGACTTCCTACTCAATGCATCGGCCACCACATTGGCTCTCCCCGGGTGGTGCAAAATAGTAACATCATAATCCTTCAATAGCTCCAACCACCTCCGCTGCCTCAAGTTCAAGTCCTTTTGCTTGAACAAGTATTGCAGACTCTTGTGATCCGTGTACACCTCACACGTCACACCATATAGGTAATGCCTCCAAATCTTCAGAGCATGAACAATGGCTGCCAACTCGAGATCATGAACCGGATAATTCTTCTCGTGGATCTTCAACTGCCTCGAAGCATAAGCAATGACTCTGCCATCCTGCATCAATACCGCACCAAGCCCAATACGGAAAGCATCACAATAAACTGTATAAGGCCCTGAGCCCGTGGGCAAAACCAATATCGGTGCCGTAGTCAGAGCTGTCTTGAGTTTCTGAAAGTTCGCCTCACACTCATCCGACCATCTGAACAGGGCACCCTTCTGGGTCAATCTGGTCATCGGGGCTGCTATGGATGAAAATCCCTCCACGAACCGGCGGTAATAACCTGCTAACCCCAAGAAACTCCGAATCTCTGTAGCTGATGCTGGTCGAGGCCAGTTCTTGACTGCCTCAATCTTCTTCGAGTCCACCTGAATACCCTCTGCTGATAACACATCACCCAGAAATGCAACCGAACTCAACCAGAATTCGCACTTCGAGAACTTAGCATACAACTGACTATCCTTCAGAGTCTGAAGAACCACTCTGAGGTGCTGCTCGTGCTCCTCCTGGCTGCGGGAGTACACCAGAATATCATCAATAAAGACTATCACGAACATGTCCAAATATGGCCTGAACACTCGGTTCATCAACTCCATGAATGCTGCTGGGGCATTGGTCAACCCAAACGACATGACCAGGAACTCATAATGCCCGTACCGAGTGCGGAATGCTGTCTTAGGGACATCAGATGCTCTAATCCTCAACTGATGGTAGCCAGATCTCAAGTGTATCTTTGAAAACACCTTTGCACCCTGAAGCTGGTCAAACAAATCATCAATCCTCGGCAGTGGATACTTGTTCTTTATCGTCACCTTGTTCAATTGCTGGTAATCAATGCACATCCTCATCGATCCATCCTTTTTCTTCACAAATAACACTGGCGCACCCCAAGGAGAAACACTAGGCCTGATAAAACCTTTCTCTAGCAAATCTTGCAACTGGTCCTTTAACTCCTTCAACTCTAGCGGGGCCATGCGATACGGCGGAATAGAAATGGGCTGCGTGCCTGGGGCCAGATCAATACAGAAATCAATATCCCTATCGGGCGGCATACCCGGCAGGTCCGAAGGGAAAACCTCGGGGAACTCCCGAAGAATAGGAACAGA